AGTAGGGCGAATTTTTCGATAAAATTTAAAATATCGAAATAATATTCGAAACACACATAGGTTTGTTCCGTTTTTAATGCTGATTCAGAATATGATACTAGTTTTAATTCAGTCTTCTTTTTTCTAGTCGAAATTCCTTGAATACTAGTGAAAAACTACCATATAATTTTGCTTCTCAAGAGCTTTGCTTCAGTCAAAACACATCGGTCCAATGAAAAAAAATTCTCTTGACAGTGACTTCTGTAATCCTGGAATATTTTTAGTCTCATTTTCGGTCGAAAAAAATAATCCTTTATTCCTTTATTTTCCTTTATTTTTCAATGATAAATGATTCATTTACATTTATTTTTTTAAAAATAAAGGATTCCTTTATTTATTTAACTTTATTTTTTTTAAAATAAATGATCATTTATCTTTACTTTTTAAAAATAAAGGATTCATTTATCTTTATCCTTTATTATAAAGGATAGTAAAGATAAAGGGTCACCCCTATTCCCATTATCTTGAATTATACGAACGCTATCATTGTTATTGGTAATATCATTTGATGAACGTATAACATTTGGTGATGATGATCGTATCGAGACTGGATTAATATCTATATAAGATAAAGTGAAAAACAATTTGAAATATGATTTAAAACTATAGAATAATATTCTATTGAGTTTTTTATAGGTATATAGAGTGAAAGAACCGATTGTCTTATCTTCAATAAAGTTGAATCATGTCGCCTCTATTTTTACTTCATTCACTTGCTTAAATTCAATGAAAAAAAAACATACTTTTTTCAAATATATGTTGACGTAATTCAGAATAATTTCCTTTTAAATATTTTGAGTTTGATTTATGATTTTTTGTTTTTCTTTTTCTTGCTTAAATTAAAAGAAATAAGTTGATCATTACGTATAAATTATAGAATTACAAAACCTTGTACCTTGAATTACTTTACCACCTTTTAAAACATTATTTTCATTATCTTCGTCGCCATCATTATCTTCTCCATCATCATCATCTTCTTCTGGTAGAAATGAATACAAATAATCTGTTGTATAACCATTCATTTTCTTCATGAGCTTGTTACATAAACTTTTTGGACCTTCAAAGTATGCACATCATTATATATTATCGTCCATTTAAGATAATGAAAACCTGGAAAACTTACCAACAGTAATCAATTCACCATTAAAAGTTTTTTCACCACATGTATATGTAACATTATCATCTTGAATACGACATTTTTCAAGTGAAGCAATCATTAATTCATTGTTAATTATATTTTTGAACAAAACGTGAGTAAAAGCACTAGTTCTTGCTGTCATAATTTATCTACAAATAAAAAAAAGTAATTAAAACAACGGTTATAATGATTTCACCCATTTGACTCTATATGGCTTTTATAAAAGAATAAAATAAGTTTAATCATGCTCATAAGTACAAAGAACTTCAGAAAATAAATGCAAGTCATAAAATGGAATAACTACACATTGATGCAAAATATCTTCTACACGTATAAAGCAAAGTTCAAATGTTTTGATATCGACAATGCTATAAAAACGATCAACAAATGCATGAGCAACATTACCAAGTTGATCTGTGCGTGTAGTTCTTATAACATTATCTTTACACTTTAGTTGTTTAATGAATGCATAGTTCGTTGATTTACATTTGAAATACCAAATGATAATACCAAAACATTTATTTTTCTTTGCAAGACATTGAGGATATTTCAAAGAAACAATATTGGTTAGTTGTGAACCTATTCGACTATATAATAATGAACTAAATTTAATAATTCCACGTTTAAAACGACTATATAAAGAAAAAGTATTATCTACTGTTTCATTGAATTGAATTTGGCACAAGTTTCTAAAGTCATCGAAGTAATCTCGATAAACGTCTTGATTTAAATAGGAAGTATCATAGACTTTTTCATCCACAAATATATTATTAATAGTGATTATTGTTTGTTCTTCAGCATATTGAGAGTCACGTAATAAATACGACTTGAATATTTGATAAGGAATTTTTATATTACTTCTTCTGCTTCTTTTTAATGTACCTAAGAAACTTTCATCACCAAAACATCCATGAGTAAATAAAGCTCCATGTGATAATACTTGTTGAACAAGATATCTATGAGCATGTAAACTGTATAGCTGAAGTTTTTTATCTCCATACACAACAGAAATATTTTTCCGATATTCATTAAGAAGTGGTTCAACAGTAACAACATCTTCAATGCTTTCGTAGAAATGCATGACTCGAATACCAACGAAATAAAGAATAAAGTGAGAGCTAATGTCTTCAGATCCAAACATAAGTATCAACGGAAAAGATACGAATAACAAAAAAAAACGATAATCTTTCGATTTCCAAAATTTAATAGAATTAAATGATGTTATACTTAAAGAACTTATTGGTGTAATGACTTTTTCGATGAAGCGTGAGAGATTGTCAACACCGTACATTTTGATCCAAATATTCAATATTGAACACATGTGTGTACTAAAGTAGCAAAGAATAAACAATAGGATTGGAAAACAAAATTATGTTAAACAAATTATAATTGATGCGCTTCATTTCCTATTCGAGTTTCTTAAAAGCTTATAAAATATTTATATTCTAGATTTCGGATGATAAAATATATCCTTTTTTAAGCAAACAGCACGGTAATGAAGCTGAAAATACTGCTTTAACAAAGATATAATTCTTAACTTACCTACAACACAAGTGCATGTAATCAAATGGACAATTTATTTGTACATTAGCAAATAATGATAATAATGGAGACTTGCCATGTATACCAAAAACAGAAATTTGATTTTGATTTCGTTCAGCTTCAGTAGCTGATCTAATATAATCACTATGTGAACGGTTTGGATATGTATCAGTATAAGGATAATAAACATTTGGACCATCATATGTTTTTCCATATTGAAGACAATTAGAACAACAGTAATAACCATTGTGTTGTTTGATACATATTGAAAGCGACCGGCATGGAAGATCAGCTTTAAACAATTGGAGCCTAATATTAAATTTTTCACCATCAATAATAACATATTTTTCGTTGATCAACTGTTGCAGTTGTTGTGATAAATGATCATAAAGAAGTAATGGTGTAGGTTCGTTTTCAGAAAAATAAACTACAAGTAAAAGTTTATTTCGAGCATACTCACGATGAGGAGGTGGTATCTCTAATATTGTTCCTGTAACTACGTAAAACTTTTTTGGCTTGGTGGTGATTACTTGCATTCCATCAGCATGAATGCTCAATGTTAAACGATTAAATTTACTATTTGTATGAATTTGTTTATAGAAAGTACCATTTATTATATCATTTGGTACAAGGCGATGAGCACGTTGTTGATATTCTATTATCAAATGTAAATTACGTTTAACAACAGATTTTATTCGTTGAAAAATATTAGCTTGACCTAATTCGGTTAATGAATCGGCTGTTCGTTGATGACCATTGAGTACACATTTAGAAGAACATTTACCTTCATTGGAATTGACCTAAATAAAAACAAATAAAATTTTAGAATTATATTCGTACTAATGGTTTATCATTTATTTAGTCGTTGCTTACAATAGATAGAAGATTATCATATGAATAATATCTCGCTTAAAACACTAGCATAAACAGAATATTTTTGTTGATTACTTAATTTAGTAATAAATCATACTAACAAATACAGAAGTAAATATTTAAAAAAAAATTAAAACAGTAGCTATATTTTTTAACAAATATTAAGATATTTTTCGTTATTTATTTTGGTTAAAAAGTAGACACGACAACTTTTTCTATTATTATATAGTAAAGCTGAGCATTCTTTTACTGTACTAATGTCAGAGTCATTTAGAGTCATAAGTCACTAATTGTATATTTACCTGATGACAGCACTTAATACATAATGTCTTGTAAGTAAACTATTCACATTTGTTGTACCAGTTTAATATTCCTAATTTAGTCAATCGATGTCCGAAAGGCAACAAAAATAAAATTAATGTTATCAAGTATAATATGTGAGTATAGGTTAAATTGCATTTAACAATAAAATTTTTAATTGCTGCATATGCTTGATGAAGAGAAATAGAGCCATTCGGATAAAGAAGAGTATTATCAAAATCATTAGTATCTGTTGAATAATCTAATTCAGAATCGGAGTTTGTTTCATTGTCACTATAATCATCACTGTTGTTCTTGTATATAAAGGAATTTACTTCAATTTCATCATCATTCAAATCATGCATTTGATAAAAATAATTATTAATGTCATTCTGGATCATTTTATCTTCATTCATTAGCATTATATTCTCTTTTTGAGGAACGCTAATATCATTACCTTGTTGAGAAAGCGTTGTATCTGTGTTTTGAAGACGGTCGGATACATTACTAATGCGTTGACGATAAGCTCTACAACGTTCAGCATTAACATTGATGTTCATATTTTAAAAAATCTGGAATGAAATTAAACGATTAAACTGATAAAAAAAATTCATTAAAAACAAATTAGGTTTCTACTCATCAATTAGTAGAACAAAATTTCTATAAAGAGAAAAAAAATTAGACGATAATTTACTTCTATGAAAAAAAAAGTTGTTTTAATAATGAAACTTTAATCCGCAGTTTGTACGCATATTGTCTTTAAAAATAAATGTGTTTTTATTTTACTTTCTAGCTTAAAACAAAACCGTCTAATACTTTTACTTCAGCTTCTTTCTTCTTTTTGTACTAGCCGGACGTTTCTACGGCTAATCATATGACTATATTTAAAAATATGTATGTTAGTATCTATCCGAAACATTTATGCACTTAACAGAATTAAATCAGAAAAAGAAAACTCCCTGGGGAATCCCCATATAGGGACTCCCCAGGGAGTTTTTAATTTTCTCCCTACTTACTGGAAATTGGGGAATTCCTAACAATTTCATAGGGAATCCCCAGGGAGTCCCTGTGGAGTTTTCTAGATTAGGAATTCCCTGGGGAATAGCGTGGTGACTCCCTGAGGACTCACCAGGGATTTCGAAGTTTTTAAGGGACTCCACGGGGATCCTTTGGGGGAGAGTCGACTAGGGTTTTGATATTTCATACGAAAATTTTTTTCTTCAATAAATTGAATAGAAGATTGTTTTTCAATTAAGTTTTTATTAAATTCATTTACTAACTGACGAATACCATCATTACGGAACGTGTTCTTGTTGATATTATTTTTCGAGTAGTTATATTAACTTTTGGTATATAATAAAATTCAATACATTGTTTTACATTTTTTGTTCCAACCTTTTAATAAAAAGAGAAAAAAAATAAAGTCAAAATATATAAATTTTTGCCAAAAAAAAACATACCGCTCGACTAACAAGTTCAAAATTATTTTCTGATGTTTGTACAGCTTTTGTAAAAGCATTAATTTCTTCTTTTGTCCATTTATTACAATCAAGAAAATGATAATTATGTAATGGTCGACATTGTTTTATATCATTAATTGTACCATCAAGTAAAGCAGCTAATGTACGTGATAAATCACCATTATATTATCATATAATAACATATAAATTAATTCAATTGGATAGGATTTTGGCGAATGACATGATGAAAATAAAAATGGATTCATTCGATTTAATTGTTCAAATTTTTCAAGAGATTTTTCATCAAGATATAATAATTCTGTTGGTGAAAATAATAATTCATCAGCAATTACTACAACAAAAAAAAACAATTAGCATCGATTATGAACTAATAAAAATGTTTTATAGAGAATGAAATCTGAGGAATCAATCAAATTTTAACTATCCTTAAAACTTCTTCTTCTAACTAATGAATGAATATATTTAAAATATCGAACATCGGTTGATTTCATATTATGTCTACGAATAGATTCATGTAAGATTTAAGAAAATCGTAAATGGATTCGAGTGCATAACCATAACTCAGCTCCAAAGGTCAGCAAGTTTTTACTCTTCCTATTGATCAAATCTTTCGATTATGAGAAACAAGAAAATAACTAGTAATTCGCATATTATCAATTTGATATTTATTGTACAAACCTTAATCATCATCTTGTAACTTTGTACGAAATTTTGGTATAATTGCTTGATATTCTTTACCAATATTAATTTTAGGACCTGCTGATTCTTCACCAATAGGTGTATATGATGGAAATAGTGTTGTTAGTATTAATGATGGTTCTGTTGATGTTCCTAGTTGAGAAAAAACACGATAATAAAGACTAGGACCTTTTCGAAATGGACTAAGCATTGGTGGTGGTGTATATGGTGTTGATGGAAGTGGATCTAATGTCTTATTTGTAACATTAAGATTTAATTGTATTCGTAATTGTGATGGTCAATAAAATGAACTTTGAGTAGATTCAGATTTTTCTACTTGTTGAACATTGTCATAATTAAAATGTGTATTACTTGATATTGTTGATGATGGTGATGATGATGGTGTTTTTGTTTTTATTGGACTATCAATATCAGGAACAATTTCAAGTACTGCTATTGGTGATGTTTGATTTTCAATATTAATTTGTTGTTGTTTGTTATTATCTTGTATTTCTTTTTTCATTATATTATTTTGAATTTGTTTTTGTGATGTTATAATATTTAATGATGATAAAGATAAACATGATGATGATGTTGAATGTATATTTGGTGATAGTTACATACTATTATTATCTTTATTGCACTTTTGGCTTGGAGATAATGGTGAATAATGACTAGTAGGTGGATTTGAATATGGTGATGTTATTGGTGTATTTATTATTAATGAAGTTGGATTTAGTGCTACGAAAAAATAAAAAAAAAAATAAAAATTCTTTTTTTCTAATATTTAATATTTGGAGTTTTTTTTTTACTAGGTAAATGACCAAAATGTGGTGATTGTGTATAACGAATTGATTCATTTAATGGTGAAGATATTTGTTGTGGAAGACAAAAATCTGGTTTGAATCGTTCAACATTTGGAAGAAAACGATATAATAGATTTGATGGTATTGAATTTGTTGGAATTGGTGATGATGAATGTATTGGATATTGTGGAATATGTGATGGAGATTGATATGGTGATGATCCAACATATGAATGATGTAAAGATATTCCATTTGCCTAAAATGATAATTTAACTTCAATGTTTTTCGAATAAAGATAATTTTTTTTTTTAGATAACATAAACTATGGTAAGACTAGCAAACATTTAAAAGGATTCGTCGCCATAAGCTTTTGAAGCTGAATTATTACCGGCAGATAATCTTTAGAATATCCTGAAAATTTCAGTCGAAAAAAATTAGAAATTTAATATTTTGACAAAAGAATATTCTTTTCAACTGAAACTTTTAGGATATTCTACAGATCATTAGACCTTCCTATGGGCAAATTCAGTAAAACGATCATAACTTGATTCCAAAGACCTATTGAACAAGTCCTTGTTCCTAATCTCACCAAGATCTTAATGCTATTAGAAGTATTGATTTCAGAGGAAAAAAATAATTTCAAAAAGAAATCATTTCTATTTTCGCTAATCAATATCTGATAAAAATTTATTGGATTTGATTTCTTACTTTACAAAATTATTCATTATTATCTTTCTATCTATTGAAAAATGATAAGATTTTTTATTAAACTATTTTAAAATCAGAAAAAAAAGTCAATCATGCGACTATAACGCATGATTTACTATTCTATTCATCACTTTTTAGGTCCGTACCTGTAGACGTTGAGAATAATTCTCAGATGATAATGGTTCTTTAATTTTTTCATCATACATTTGTAATGGTGATGATGTATTCAGATATATTTGTGGATTTACCATTGGATCATGTGGTATCATTACATTTTGAATATTTATTCGAGGTGGATGAATAACATGTGTAGATAATGGAGTTGGTATTCGATTTTGTTTTGGTGATGATTGTAGATTTAAGGGATTTTTCATTGTATATTGAGAAAATGGCGTTGTTGAAATTGTATTATTAGGTGATGATGATGATGGACGTGCAGGTGATAATAATGTTGTATTATATAAATGTTTTGAAATAATATTTGAACCTGATGATAAATTTGTAAATGATGATTGTGATTGATAAATATTATTTGTTGTTGAAATCATTGATATATCTTGTTCTTCTTTTTTTATTTTTATTGGTGTTGATAGAGAATTAATACGTTTTCGTTTCACTGCTGTTGATAAACGTTTCTTTTTTTCTGTATTTTCAATTAAAGGTGATGATGAGGATGTTGGTTTCTAAAATAAATAAACTATTAGGTGCAATCTTTGTAGGGTATAAATATCTTTAAAAAAAATAAACATATTTCTTTAACATACATCAATAAATCCACCATGTAAACGCATATGACCATTAAGTGCAGCACCATTTTTAAATGATTTTTTACAAATTTGACGTTCAACACATTTTTAAAAAAACATAAACGAAATCGTTTAGAATACAGTTCTGATAGTAGTAAAAATTTATTGTCTAAGATTTTCATTATAATTTTATTGTGAAGGTCTACGAAAGATGTGCACGACGAAACTTACACATGAATCGAAATAAAACAGATTCTGCCAACCATACCAACACTTACATCCATACCCTCGTCCTCGTATGACACTATCATACAGTGCTCACAAAACCACCGTGCGCATCTTTCGGTATCCCGTGCTAGAAAGGAAGAGAGATGATAAGGTCTTAAATTGGCCCATAGGACCTTTATTAGTATGACTCCTACTATCTTATATCAAACGAAAGGTCACGTTGAGATAAGCATTTTCGGTGACGGAATCAACTATTTTTTCGAACAAGATCAATATTTAATATTTTTAATTCTGCATTGCTTGCATGATCAATCTAATATAGTACCTCTTTTCATATGAAGACAATACAAAAATTTTTTTTACTTCATCTGGTAGATCATATGACCTACTAGTTGAAGTAAAAAAAAATCATATTTTCTTATTGTTTTCATATGAGAAGAGGTACTATATCGGATTAGTCATGAAACAAATTTAGGTCCAAAAACATTGAATATTGACCTTGTGCAAACTTTTTACTCATCCGTGGAAAAATACTTGATCTCGTCACCGAAAATCCTTATCTCACGTAATCTTTCGTTTGATATAAGATAGTAGGGATCCTGCTGGAAAAAGTCTTATGGGCCGATTTATGACCTTATCACCTCTTCTCCTTTGTTTTATCTTATCTGTACAATTTATCACATATATTTGATATCGGTCTGTATTCTAGAAACGTAAAGTTTCTTATTATTAAAAACTAATACGTGCAACATCAATGCTGCCATCTTGAATGTATAGGTGTTATCCATGTCATCGATTTTTCATTGAAATTAACCGTTCAAATGGTTTACTCTGTTTTTTTTAATAATTTTTCTATTAAATTAATATTTCCTATCTTGAAGAGATCGATTTTAATATGTCACAGTATATTTTATGAGATGGTGGCATACTTTTCCACATTGATTTATTTACTCTACTACCTAATGACTAATTGTTTTTGTGGCATCATCTTTAATGACTAATCACATGCGAAAACAGCTGATGTGACTAGAACACACAGCATGAGAGGAGACATGATTTTGACTAAAATCTAACATTTTTCAAAGAGTTTAAAAATATGTATGCACTGAAATATAAAAATAAATCGAGCAATTGATTAATACAAGACTTGAAATGAAATATTTGTTTATACCACTTATAGTCAATATCTTATAGTTAATTATCTTCTGATTTCTTAGATTAATTTCTCATGTAAAACATGGATAATAGGAATTTCTGAGCTAACTCCATTTGCCTATAACAAAATTAAATTTGACACAGGGGGAGTGGGAGCTTTCAAGACTCCTCAGTTTTCATTTTTCATACAAAATCGTCACCGGACCCAAGGAAGAGGGGTAGCTTTGCGAAAGTTCCTCCTCAAGGCTGTGCAAAATTTCGGAAAACATCCAGAACGATTTTTTGGCCGCTGATCAGGTGATCAGTCGACTTGACCTTTCTTCCCCCTAGTGATCAAGTGTGCGCTTTTCGGGCGCCCCCTTTACCTGAATACGTGATTTCCGAAACACTCCTTATGTGATCATACAACATCAGCTACTGTACATTTTCTTTTTGAACAACTTATTTAAAATAAATCTATTGATGAATTAATTTTTAAAACAAAAAAAAACATCTGGTGAATTAAAAGTTAAAAAACGTGATAATCAAGATCATTGACAAGTTGATTTTTCTATGAATAATTCACAAGCAATTGAACTTGATAATCATATATTGAATTAAATATGCAAATGAACAGAAAAAAAAACTTTTAATTCAACTTTCTTCAATTGATGATAATATGAAACTATAATAAAATCTTACCGAAATTAATTTTGATCAATCAATACATCCATTTATATGTGAAATTATTCTTACAAATAAATCAATAATAACAACATATTTTCTTATCTCAAATAATATAAAAATATGTTGGAGTAACAGTTCGTTGTCGAACATATTGTGAAATTAAATAAAAATCATACTATTTTTGATTTGTTATTTTATAATGATTTTATTGCAATTTTTGGACTCTAGAAAAAAAAACTCAAAACAAAAGAATTCGATTTGTTTTTTATTAGATTATAATCAGCAGAGATTTTTGAAAATAAGTTCAAAATGTTTTTTTTTTGTAAATCATTTTCAATAAAATAAATTAATTTATAATTAACAAGATTTTCTCAATAGATAATAATTGAATGAAAAAAATAAACATAATAAATTATTGAAATATATTTTTTTTTTACTTCTTTCAAACATTGAATTATTAATTCTATAATATTCTTTAAATATATCTAAATGAATAAATTTAATAATTCAATCTTTGTTATTTGTTTATTGACACTTTGAAGAGAATTTTCAATTCCAAGAATAAGATCTTGAAAATTTTTTTAAACAAATAAAATCACGTACAAGATGAATTTATTGAAACAGAAAAATGTATCGAATATGTGAATAAGAAATAATATCAATAATCATTTAAGTTTTCGACTTAAAAAAAAATATATATGTGTCAGGCAGAATTAAACATAGTTTCAAAATATTTTAATTAAAATTTAAATGAACAAAGATGAAAGTAAATGTTAGTGCATCCAATCAATATTCAGCTGGGTTAAACTAGACTAATCTAACAGACGTATATATGTCCGTCTGTTATAGCGAGAGAAAACGAAAAAGATGTGTATACAGTAGTGGCTAAAATTATAAGAACAGACTGCTAGTCGTCTATTCACTTCATATTTCTCTTTCTGCACGTGATGCATTCGACTGATATTCAGTCTTGTACCTAGATTTCGATATACTCTTTCATAATATATGAACGTTCACAAAAAAACTCTATTAGACAATAAAATGGATGTATTTTTATCTCTCGTAAGTGTCCTTAAATTACGATAAATTATAAAAATAATGCTGAGCAACCAACCATGACCAAATAAACAGCAAATAAAATATATATCAAGACTAAGTATAAAACCGTCGGCTTTTTGAGTTTTTTCTCATTCTCTAGAAACCTAAATACATGAGTCAAAAATAGTAAGTTATACTTAGTTACTTTTAGTCGCTTGATTATTCATGGACATTTCGTAATTTTGTTCGTCATATATTATTCAGTCATGGTCCATGGATCATTGAAAATCTCACTATAAAAGGCTCAAGTTTTCAATGCAAAACTTCAGTTTCATATACTCGTGCTTCTGTAATAATCAATAAAATAATAGATGACTGTTAAAGATATATTCTTTAGCATAATTGGTGTAATTGTACCAGGTAGATATATGTATATTTGTATAACTGACTTTTTTGAAAAAAAATGTCTTAATTTTTCAGGTGGTATAAGCAAAAAGAAAAAAGCGTCCGATGATGGTTTGAATAAGTTAAAAGAAGAAGTGTCGATGGATGAACATATGATTCCATTACAAGAACTTGTTGATCGCTTGGACACTGATATCGAAAATGGTTTGGCAGCAGAAAAAGCTCGACAACTACTTACAAAAAATGGTCCGAATGCATTGACGCCACCCAACGAAGTTCCAGAGTGGGTCAAATTCTGTAAATTACTTTTTGGTGGTTTCTCTGCTCTATTATGGGTAAATAAATCCGATTTTGATATATTTTAAAAACTCGTTTAAACTAAATCGAATAAAAAGAAAATAATAGGTTGCAGCTATTCTTTGCATAATTGCTTATGCTGCTTCTATCGCATCAGATCCCACCACGACCAAGGATAATTTATGGTTGGGTATTGCTCTATTGGTTGTCGTTATTGTCACAGCAATATTTGCGTATTATCAAGAATCAAAAGCAGGAAAAATTATGGAATCATTTAAACAAATGGTTTGTTTCCTTGTCTTTTTTTAAACATATTTGATCAATTGAAGTTAATTATATTTAGGTTCCTCAGAGTGCCAATGTATTGCGTGATGGTCAAAAAGTAGAAATATCTGCCGAAGAATTAGTTATTGGTGATATTGTTTTTGTCAAAGTTGGAGATAAAACTCCTGCAGGTAATTTTTATTTTCTCTTTTAATTCAAAAAAAAAATTACGGAAAAAAAATTGATTTTGTTTTTCATTGTGAATGATTTGAATTTGCATAGATATTCGAATCCTTTCATCTCAAGGTTTTAAAGTAGACTATTCATCATTAACGGGTGAAAGCGAACCATTAACCCGTTCACCTGATTTTACAGATCAGAATCCATTAGAAACAAAAAACCTTGCTTTTTATAGTACGTTTGCTGTCGAAGGTAAAATTAATTTTGTAATTTTTTTTTATATGCGTTATATTCTTTTATTGAAGGTTCGTGCACTGGATTGGTTATTCGGACGGGTGATAACACTGTTATGGGTAGAATAGCTAAATTAGGTAAGAATTTTTTATAAAAACTGTTATAATGGGAGTAGCAGCGTGATCAAATAACAACAGAACGGAAAAAAAGAAGTTAGCTTAGTTTATTATACCCTTACCTTTCGGTGTAGGGTGAAGATAAAAAAAAAAGTACAATAAGGAGAGAAAAACAAAAAGAAAAATAAGAGAAATAGTACGAACAAGTTTTAGATGCATTCAGAAGAATACACAGTTGCGGAACAAAAAAAAGCATTTTTCGTGAGAAATCCAACTTTGCATATTCTATTTACTGACTAGATAGACTACCATCATACTATGTAGAAAATGAACTCTCTGTTTGTCTTATAAATGAAGAGAAAAACCTCGCATATAAGAAAGACATTTTGATTGAGCAGATTGATATTGATCGATGCCATTGAAAATATATTTATTTTTATTTTATTTTATTTTTCTTCATTAATATAAAATAGCCAGTGGTGTTAGCAATGAAATATCTCCGTTAAATATTGAAATAAATCATTTTGTTAATATGGTAACAATAGTGGCTTTTAGTTTTGGAATTATATTTTTAATTGTTTTAATAAGTCTTAATATGGGTGTTTTACGTGCAATTGTTTTTGTTATTGGCATTATTGTAGCAAATGTTCCTGAAGGTCTTTTAGCAACAATAACTGTTATGTTGGCATTAACTGCTCAAAGAATGGCTCGAAAAAAATGTTTAGTTAAAAATTTAACAGCTGTCGAAGCATTAGGAAGTGTTTCAGTGATTTGTTCTGATAAAACTGGAACATTAACACAAAATCGAATGACTGTAGCACATTTATGGTTAGATGGAACTATTGCTGGTGTTAGTCTTTCACATACGCATCCTGCTCAAGTAGCTTTTGAAAATCCAATAATTGATTCAATAACTGGTGAACAAGTTATTCAAGTTGAACGAAACCGATCAAGTTATGAAGCTCTTTTAAGATGTGCTATGCTTTGTGCAAAAGCTGTTTTTAAGGTTTCATTTAGAGAAAATAAAACAAAAAAAAAATCATTTTTTATTTTAGACTGATGAAGATAATTTAAATAAACCTCCATTACAAAGACTTGTTAAAGGTGATGCCAGTGAAACAGCTATTCTTCAATTTACTGAACTTGCTGTTGGCAAAGTTGAAGATTATCGAGCAAAAAATCCACCTGTTTGTGATATTCCATTTAATAGTACAAATAAATATCAAGTATCAATTCACGAAACCAATGATCAAGATCAACAATATTTACTTGTGGTATTTTTTATTTTGTTTATATATTCGAATTGATTTCTTTTTTTTCTCAATTAGATGAAAGGTGCACCAGAGAGAATTGTTGAACGATGTTCGAAAATTTTTATTAATAATAATGAATATGATCTTGATGATGAATGGAAAGATAAATTTAATGATGCATACACGACATTAGGTGGATTAGGTGAACGAGTTCTCGGATTTTGTGATTCACGTTTACCATTAGATACATTTCCTCGAGGATTTACATTCGATTCGGATAATCCTAATTTTCCACTTAATGATTTACGTTTTTTGGGTTTTATAGCAATGATCGATCCACCACGACCTGGAGTTTCTGAGGCTGTACAAAAATGCCGCACAGCAGGTTAACAAACACTTAAGATTTATATACTTTTTAAAATTTTTCTTTAAATTTTTTCTAGGAATTAAAGTTATTATGGTTACAGGTGATCATCAGGTTACAGCTAAAGCTATTGCAAAAAGTAAATCGAAATTTATTATAAGAAAAATTTATTTATTATTTATTATTTTTATAGGTGTTGGGATTATTACTTCAGATACAGGTTTTCTTTAGAAGATTTTCTAATAAATATATTATTTTGTTTTTATAATTAAAGCTGACGATATGGCTAATCGTTTCGATCTTCCTCTTGAAAGTATTGATCCGAAAGATATTCGTTCAATTGTTTTATCTGGTTCTGAATTAGCTCAAATGTCATCAAAACAATTAGATGAAGTTCTGATATCATATCGTGAAATCGTATTTGCTCGAACGTCTCCTCAACAAAAATTGATTATTGTTGAAGGTTAGTTTTCACTTTTTATTTATATTGAAATCCTAGTTAAAATATCAGTTAGTCCATTTTAATTTTAAAAAAATGAACAAATTTTCATGGTTAATTATTTAAAAAAAAAAGTAAAAATAAATTTGTTAAAAATGATTTTTATCTTTCGAAAAATATTAAGAAAACTTTTTATTGATAAATTGACTCATATCTCAATACTTTTCATATTGTAATTTACTCCAAGAATACGATTATATAAAGAAGTAAATGTGTCACTCTTTAAGTTTCATTTTCAATACAGGAGAAGGATAGAATACGAAATTCCGCACATTCTTGTATATCGATTATTCTTTTCTACTTAAGGAAAACAATTTTTCGAAGCAAATTAGTCTTGAGGATGTCTCATAGTTTAAAGTATTTGAAATAATAAGAATGGTTAGAGTCAACAATATATTTTGCCGAAAATTCAGTTGTCACATATGAACTTTTTTGAATAGTAGGTTTTGTTCTTTGATATTTACTGTATTAATTGGTGAATTTTCTAGGTTTTAACGATGTCTTATCAGAACCTGTGTGCATAAAAGCAAATCGACGGTGAAAAAAATCGGAGATGAATTAAACTCCAACTTTGTTTAGTGCTTCGATGCTTCTATCAGACATTGTTGAAACTTTCCAAATGCGTCAATTTGTACAGCAAATATAAGAGAAAAGAAAACTTACTATTCAAAAAAACTCATATGTGAAATCTGAATTTTTGACAAAAAATTTAGCTGATTCCTACCAAGTCAGACAAACGTTGAAAGAAACGACGTTTTTACGAGTAAAAAACTCACATTTTAACGCTTTACGAAATTTGTTTTTCTTTTTGAAAAATGAAGGAAGCTTGTGAATGTCAACGTTGTGAAAATTATTTTTTTTTCGAAAAAAAAACGTTTTTTAACGCGTAAAGATGTCCGCTTTTTACACGTAGAAACGTCGTTTTCTTTAAGGCTTGTCTGATTGGGCAACCCACTCCGAAATTGACCTCATGCAGAGCTCTAACGACGGTACATGAAATTTTTTCTTTCCCAAACTCAACATAAAATTAATAGGGCAGATAGACGCAATTTTTCACGCTCTACAAGATGACATATTAAATATGATCATTGGTAATATCTCTCTTTAAATTATACAGGGTCAAGCGCATTCGAATTCGAATGCGTTTGACCCTGTATAATCTAACGAGAGAACATATCCAACTGACGAACGCCATTCGATCCCATCTTTTGGCTGTGAATAGGATTCAGTGAGACTAAGAAGACTCTTAAAAAGTTCGTGCTCATTTCGTGCCTGGAAAGGGATCTCATTGTCACATAAGTGTAAGAAAATGGAATGTTGGGTGTGAGTGTGGGTGTCGGTAAAAGTACAACCAAATTGCATTTTCTTACACCCATGTGGCAATGAGATCTCCTTTCAAGCACGCCAGATCGAAAGGCGTCCAACAATTGGATATGTTCTCCCAAGACTCTATGAAGAAAAAATTGTCTCAAGCGGAACTAAAGATTTTAGCTAAATAATCTTTAATTTTAAGTGAATTACCTTATAAATCATATCAATCAGAGCGTAATTTAAGAGAGATGACCCAAATTGTGGTAGTCGTAAACTAAATAAATCAAATAATAAATATTGAAGAACTTTGACATACAATACAAGTCTATTCTGAAATATTTGTTCTCTAAATCGTGACCATGATTGGAGCTGACACCAGTCCCAGCTTAGATTTACCGAGGTCATAACTGGGATCGCTAGAAAAGAAACTATCGGAAGCAAAACCATAAAAGTTTGGTTGCCGAATATTTCTGGTGCTGGTATATAAGTAGGTAGGTTAATGTCGATCAACCTATCAGTCTTTTTCATAGATAGATAAACATTTCGCAAGCTACGCAGCGCGCAAGTTCGTAAAAGTGTGCCAAAGTGTCACTAGTAACTCCACTGAAAAGTATCATTTATTGCTTTTTTTAGAGAATTTTCTTTTGTTAAAAGAGGTTCGTTTTGATTCACATACCCAAAACACACATGAAGAAATTCGATGAATTTATTTTATACAAAAAAAGAACTTTTTCGAAGTTAAAATTTATTTTAATAATAGTGATGTAACCGGCAAATGGCTAGAGAAGACCATTCTCCAGCTCCAGAACATTTTGAGCTCTCTCTTATAAACGATTGAGTTCTGCTTAAAAAAGAGCTTGATCCCATTCTAGGACAATTACCAGAGGGTCTTCGCCCCATGAGGGATATAGGGGAGGAGACTGAGCCTCATATACCTCTGTTCTTTGGTTACGCCACTGTTTAATAATCAATATAATGGAATTTCATCTTGAAAGGACATTATTTCAAAATATATAATCATCTTTTCTTCTTTGAAACATTTAATAGTTTTTGTTTTTGAAATAAAAATTGTGTTTAATTGGAAAATAGTTTTCTTTTCATAAAAAATGTAATCAAGAAAAAACAAAGTCGAACAAGTAGTAACTTTTATTTATTATTTAATCTTGATTGTAAAATAAACTGCAGAAAAACTAGACTCTTTTTTTTTACATATTTCTAATAGACAAAAAGTCTTGACGACATATTTGCAGTGGAGGAGTCAGGGTTTTTGAGTTAGAAGGAGGAGGTGGAGCCCTCTCTGTCCCTTGGTTCCGTGACTGCATATTTTAATATGAGCTAACATAAATAAAAGAAATTCATTGGAATGACTAAATGAAATGTAGAATGTTTTATTTACAATGAATATTTTTTTAACATAAAAGTTTAGTTAATAATGAGTACATAATTTAAAGATTAATTTGTTCGATTGATTTTTCTTAATTTTTCAAAAGTTTTTCAAAATAAATTTAATGATCTTTGATTTACTTGAATAGAAAAGTTTTCGTGTAAAAAGAATCAACACGAGAAAACATTTTTTCGAAGATAAAAATAATTAGATTGATTTATATTTATCTGAGATTAACTTAACATTCGATGTGGTGATTTACATTTCAATGAATTTTGTTGAAAAATAGGTTGTCAAAGACAAGGCTGGATTGTCGGTGTTACTGGTGATGGTGTTAACGACTCACCGGCTCTTAAAAAAGCTGATATTGGAATATCAATGGGTAAGAAATCTTTTTAAGAGTACTTTATACTCTAATCACATCTACACACTGATTGCTGTGATTTACACACACAACCCTGCGTGAGGGTAAGGGTGCAATGATTAAGATACAGAAGAACCATGAAAATTATTCGTAAAGATCGGTTTTTATTTTCTTTTATTTTCTAAAAATAATTATTTATTTTCGCTTTCTTAATTTGCCTTAGGAGTTTTTCTATTGATCTAGATTTTCTATTGAAATTCTGAAAAATTCATTATTAATATCATTATGATAAACTGAGAACATCTCAATTTTATTTCAATTAAAAAAAACTTTCGAGTTTGTTTAAAATTAGTTATAAGAAATGAAAGAATAATTGAATTTTTATTGCTGATATATGATGAGTCTATTGAGCAATTACTTCTAAGGTAGATTTTTAATAATGATCGTTTTTTTCCATAAATTTCAATTTGAGTTTTATTTTGAAATAGTTTAATAAAATTGAAACAAAAAAATTAATTTTATGTGTAAATAACAAATATTATCATTGAAATCAACATATTTTTTCTTTTACTTTATTAGTCTGAAGAAAATTTCGAAAAAAAATTTAAATCGAAATCGATCAGTTGTCAAATAATTGTCGTTCGATGAACTGGTCAAAGAGTACTTCTTATCCGAAGTCATTTGTTTTTATAATTGTATAGCTTATTTCACCTGAAACAGATCGATCCCTACCGATGAGTTTTATTTTCATTAACTCTCATGTCAGATTAATTTTACTGAAATAAAATGCGAACCTTTATTTCGAATCTTGTTGATATTTTTCTAATAGATCATTGTCAACATAATCAAATTTTTCTAAGAAGGTATTAGGATTTTTCTGTCGTCTTTTACGAGAGAAAATTTGGAGATGCTCAAAGAATATTAAAATGGACAAAAAAAACATGTTCGTTGGCGAACAATTCAATTTTTTTTCTTATTTTTATTCTCGAATCTTTTCTCACTATATATTTTTCTTATTTGCCATCTAAAATTAAAAATAAGCGTTATAATTTATCAACATTAATGTCAATGATCTATCCAGTATGATTATATCGAATTGCTGTACTACTGTCCACTAGTATTTAACTTTGAAAATCTATCTAGTTTTTTGAACGAAGAGATAAAGCGAAGTATTTTACATCACTTGAGCCTCTTGAAGACGGGCTTTAACAATGTTCATTTAGTTTTAAAAATTTTGGTGTTATTACTGAGAAAGTGTCAACTTTCAATCTACAGGAAAAAATTCTGCAAAAATTCATCACACAATCAGCCAGTCTGCCCATTATAATGCCAGAAGCGAGTATAATGAATGTCATATTCAGAATCGACCTAAACAAGGTGCATCGAACCGCATACGTCTCATCGAAAAACTTTTCACCAGGAATTCTCATGTACTTCCCATCAGATCACTTTTTGAAAAGCTTCCCTTGTGATGTCTACCCGCAGTGAGTTTTCGATGGGAAAAGTTGTTCGATGAGATCTTTGTGCTCTTATACTTAGTTCTAGATGGCAAATAAGAAAAATATATAATTTGAAAAGATTCGACAATTAAAATAGAAAAATTCGAATTATTCCCACATGGGCTTGTTTTTTTTTGTTCATGTTAATACTCTTCGAGTATTTCGCAATTTTCTCTGTTAAAAGACAATAGAGAAAAAGTAAAAACCTACATATTTCTAATCAGCGCTTCAGACTCTATCGAACAATGTATGAATAAAACCGAAATCGTTTCCAGTCGAATTTTGCATTAGCCGTACTTTCCATTTTGTTTTGAATTTAATTTAATTTTTCATCATAGAAATCAAAATAATTTTTATTATTTTTTGAAAGAACACTATTGATGAATAAATTCTTTGATATTGATAATAACATTTAAATAAATATCATTATAAATTTAAGGTATAACTGGCTCTGATGTCAGTAAACAAGTGGCAGATATGATTTTACTGGATGACAATTTTTCAACAATAGTTGCTGGTGTTGCAGAAGGTCGACTTATGTTTGATAATTTGAAAAAAGTTATTGCTTACACATTCACAAAAAATTTATGTCAACTATTACCATTTCTTCTCTATGCAATTGTTGATATTCCACTTGCATTAAGTACAATAACTATATTGTGTATTGATCTAGGAACTGATATTGTACCTAGTATAACATTTGCATATGAACAAGCCGAAGGAGATCTTTTAGTGGGTTTATTCATTTCATAATTTGCTATGTTTTTTTTTTCTTATTTCAAGTAAATTGTCTAGGAACGACCACCGAGAAAAAGAACTGATAAAATGTGTACCGTTCAATTGGTTACACTTTGTTATGGACAGATGGCAATGATTGAAGCAAGTGGCGCTTTTTTTGCTTTTTTTGTTGTTATGGCTGAAAATGGTTGGTGGCCATCAAGATTACTTGGAATACGAAATGCATGGGATTCCGCTGCTGTTAATGATCTTCGTGATAGTCATGGTCAAGAATGGACATATGAACAAAGGTAAATTATTCAAAAGATTTTAATTTTTTAATTTAAATTTAAATTAGACGTAATCTCGATTTGTCTGCACAATCCGCATATTTTATTGGTATTGTTATAACACAAATTGGAAATTTACTTGGAAATAAAACAGTTCGTCAATCAATATTTGACAAAAGCTTTTTTCGAAATACGTTGATGTTATTGTCCATTGTATTTGCAATTGGTCTTGCTTGTTTTCTTCTTTATATTCCAAAACTTAATCGAGCACTTAATCTTGCACCAAATCGATTTCTTTGGTGGTTACCATCTGCTCCTTTTTTTCTATATTTATTAGCATTTAATGAAATACGAAAGCTTTTTATTCGAAAATATCCTGGCCGATTTCCATCACGTCAACTCACATTGTGAAACTTTTTTACTTTTTTAATTATTCAAGCTAATTTTAACCTTTTTAATGAAATAAATACGTTCAAAAGATCCCAAACAATTCGTGTCACAAGAATTTTATTAGATCAACAGGAATATCAAAATTTAATTTAATAATACACCTAATTTTTAATAATTGGATAAGAATTTTCATGTATATTATAGATTTCATTGTATTCCGAAAGAAAAAGACAAATATTCCTGTCTATGTGTAGACCTTTCTTGCTGAAGTCTTTTCCCATTATGTTTGCTCAATTTTCTTCGATTATTAGATTAATGAAAAAATTTGAAAGTAATCAGGGTGTGCACCTACAGTCAAAGTTACTCAGACTTCATTGCTCATCAATAAACATCTAATAAGAAAATTTTCTTAGTGTTTTCTTTCTTTAAGATTTTTAGGACTAAACGAAAATCATTTTCGTTATACACTCTATCGTAAATAATGAGAGAATATGGTTTCAAATTTCGTTTTAAAAGATGATATATTTTATTTCTTTTGATTCTATGAAACTCATAACCCGCTTTACACTTTTAATACTGACTGAATTAGACACAACAAATAAAAATAAAAATAAAAAAAAAACTGAATTAATGCAAAACAGTGATTTTTTGAAAGCCTACATAGACAGATTTTGTCTATTTTTTTCTTATGTTTAGATCTAACATACAGATAATAAATAATTCTGCCTTATTCATTCGTATTAGTGTATCAACAGTTGCAAAGGCTATCAATAAAAGCATCATAAATACCAAATAGTATATTTACTCATATTAGTTCTCGAACAATTTTTTATTATTATAGAGAACTTTATTTGAGTGATTTAACCTAATCGGTCCTGACCACTTACAGTTGATAACAATTTCTAGCACATAGTAAAAAGAGAAAAAAAAAGGAACAAAAAATAAATGCAGTTACAATAAATGGACAAAAGTTACAACAATAAAGTATAAATAGACAGCGACTTAGAAAAATACATTAAGATAATGAAGATTAATCAGTAAAAGTTCTTGTTGAAATTGATCGATTATATTAATCTTCAATAGCAAATTGCATAAGTTTGTCAAAATAAGTAGAAGAATTTTGATAGAATTTGATTATGCGTGTGCTAGGTCGGCCTCTCGGCAGTGATTGTATACATACCTTTTCCGTATAGTGGTGACGTGTTATATTAGTGATGTTCTTATTCATTATATAACAGGCGATTAGCTCCTGTTCATACTTTTCAATGTTTATACCCAAGTAAGCAAAAAAACAGGAAGACGGCCAACAATGACTAGTCCGAAATGTCTGTAACACCCGTCAGGTCTAGTCTGAAACGTCTTGCACACCAGTCATGACTAATCACCTTTCGGAGAAATGTCCTTCAAACACGTCTAGACTAGTCCGAAATGTCCTTGAACCTAGCTATGTCTAGTCCTTTTTGTCCATTAACCCCGTCCGGACTAGTCGACAGACAGAAAAAATAAGATGAAAGGTGGATTTGAACATCCAACCCGACAGTATTCGACAGCGGACGGGCGCCATGACGGCAAGCTGTGACACAAAGATAGACCGACGTCAGTTTATATAGTCTAAATCAGAGAATGACGTCCGTCCATTTGCTAGACAGTTAGAAACCAACCGAAGTCAAGCAATTTTGACTAGTCTGAAACGTCCACAATACCCATCATGTCTAGTCTGTTGTTATAGGAATGTCCAATAATCACGTCTGGACTAGTCCAGAACGTCCACGTTACCCATCCGTTTTTCTTTTCACCCCGTCCAGACTAGTCGGTATAACAGAGGACTAAATAAAAAAAGTGCCAATAGATAGATTCGAACATCTAAGGCAACAATATTTAACACATGACGAGCATCAGGACAGTAAAAATGATGTAAATACTGACCAACGTCATATTATTAGTCTAGTTAACTACATGACGATAGTCTAGCATTCAGTCATTCATTTTGTAATTTGAGGAAGATGAGATGTGAACGTATTAGGCATACTTCGCTGTTATACTAAATATTCTGATGCAGCATCAATACTGCCACGTTTGTGACGAGTATTCTGCCAATCTTCTTGCTGATGGATTGGATGAAAGACATACACATCGTCTAGGACCGGTGTCATGACTGCTAGTCTTTTATAGCTTCCTAGTCCTGTTTTTTCCGCGATATGCGATAGCGACACCTAATTCAATGGAGGACTGTTCGTTGATTAGCTGTAGCTAGCAGTACCGTTCGTTATTTTTAACATACTGAACATACATAGGATTCTAGAAACGTCTATATGTTCTTTTTTTAAATAGGATAAGAAAATCGACAAAGATATAACTCAAAGTTTATATCATTGATAAAAATATATTTCGATTTAGCATATTTCTTCATTTATTGAAATTTTTTTCTCAGATCAATTCATATGATCATATTTTTCTATAAAATCTTTACCTTTTTTTTAATGAGATATTTCTAAATAAGTTTTTCATTTAACTGCTATTTTTGTTTATTTTAGTTCTTGTCCAGTTTTTTGTTTGATTGTTTGTTACACAAGATCTTCATGGCAACTTCTACGCAAACACATTCTCATTGTGCTGTTCAATGGGAAGACAACAAAAATGAATATGCTGTTGTTCATGTCAAACGTGCAAAGACATCCATCACTTTGAAAGTTGGTTTAACAACATCATTTGAAGTAAACAATCGAGATCGTCGACGTGGCAAAATATTGTATATTGGTTAGTTGTTATTCTTTTTTAATTTGTGGCTAATTAAGTTTAAGCCAGTATGCTCAAAGTTTAGCATCTGACTTGATTTACCTATCCTTACTTCATCAAATAGATAAATAAATATAATTTCCATTTTTTTTTGGGTACAAAAAACGATTGTACTGTATTTAGTTTCGAATTTGAAGATCAAGGTGAACATGTTAATACTTATTCCTGGAGTTTAGCACCTGATCTTTCCGAAAAAATTGAAGAGCCAACAAAAGCTATTAAAAATGTTGCTGGTGGAAATTTACATCGAACAACATCTTCATCATCAACAAGTTCAGCTATTTCAAAAAACAGAAAACGAAAAATAAATCATAATGAGCAACATACAACTGGTAATCCAGTTGTAATTGATATCAATCTGATGCCGGTATCACCACCTGCACTAGGTTCAACTCGTTCTGCTATTACGATTGGTGATATTGATCCACCATTAGATTCAAATGATCAACATCCATCTAATTCATCTAATGCAAATAAAACGTCAACAAATACTGAAACAGCAGTATCACATGATGTCAATAGTCTTCTTGAAGAAAATAAAGCATTACGTAATAAAATTACTGAACTTGAAGAACAATTATTACTTCAACGTGAAACATCAATTCGTGAGTAAAAAAAATTGTTCAACATTTATTTCTTCATAGATTTATGAGCAATAAATAAACCTTTACCAGATAATTATTCTTCAGTTATAAAGGTGTTCCATTATATTTGTACGCTTAATAGTATCATTAATTGGATCTAAATTCAGAATATATATTGCTTGAATTTTCTGCTACGATACGTAAACTTAATATATGTTACTTTTAGCTGTTCCAGATGAAAATAATTATAATTATTTGAGAAATGTTTGTTCAACTTATGAACGCCTTCGTAGTGAACAACATACAAAAATGGTTGAAGTATGATATAATATTTCATTGGATATGAAACTATTTTATACAGTGTTTCTTTTTTCTTTTAGTTAAGAAAAAAGTTGCCATGTAGTGATGTCGAAATCAAATTAGCTAAGAAACCAAATCCTGCTGCTACAATCAACCATTTAGTAAAAGCTTGCTTCAAAGATGCTGATTTAAAAGAAATGTCATATGAAAAATTAAAATTGGAGAATGAATCATTATTACAGAATATACATAGTACGTTTCATTTTTTTGATTAATAAAAAAAGTTTCTGCTCTATTCTAATGTCTATGTCATTTTTGCATATTTTTTAGAGTTTGTTCAATGTATACATGCACCCACACTTATACCTCAAGCTATGTTCTCAGGCACAATATCATTAAAATGTCGTCATCTTAGACATGAATCTGGTCCAAAACCGACAAAATGTAAACGGAATCAATCAAATAACATTCATGAAGAAAGAATAAAAAAAAACTGCAAAACGATTCAAAAAACAGAACATGAACAATCAGAAGATGATAAAGAAAATGAAGAGCATTTTTGATGAAAACATGCGAATCAAATTTGTTTATTTAGAAATAGTAGAACTTATTATATATTAGATTTTTGTTTAAACAGTAGAATCTATTTTAAATTTTCTGTTTGCGTAGAGATTATAGAACTTATTCTGTCTTATATTTTTTATGTATAAAAGGCTTATCAACATGTATGATTTCATAAAGCATTAATATCGTAACTCGATTTATATTCAAATTGTAAATTACAATTCGATGACGAAGTTCATCATTGAAAAATGATTAATTTAAAAATCAAGATCGTCAGAAATCTAGCAATTTAACATCTTTTGCTCATCATAAGGAGCACTACTATTCAAGAATAACAAGTAATAAATAAGTGTACATATGTATATATATATATATGTTAGCGTCCAATCTCGGATTCAGGCCAATCTCAGATTCGCCTAGGCCAATGTCGGATTATAAATTTTTTTATGAAAAAACCTTCATATCTCTATGATCCGTTGCTGAAAATGAATGAGTTTTTGAATATTGTCTAATAATAGGGAGGACAATGTGAGGGTGTGGGTGAGGGTGGATTCCATAAAANCATTTGATATGTTCAATTTTATAAATCTTATACAACGTTTTATTCTGTTCGAAATGAGGTTCGTAACTCTCTCTTCGATGATGATTTTTCAAGAGAGAAAAATAACATTTTTAGCGGTGTTCATTATCATGACACACATAGTTATAAATCAAAATAAATGCTGTATTTACAACCAGCGTCAAAAACTATTGAATCAATGCAGCTTTTAACGCTCGTTGCGAACGTCGCATTCATTTTGCTTTACGAACGTGTCATGGCAGCGAAAATCTGTAAAAATATTTTGTTTTCTCTTGAAAAATCATTATGGGAGCGAGCTGCGAACCCCATTTCGTACAGAATAAAAAGTTATGTATCATTTAGAAAATTCAGCATAGCAAATGAACACTTTCGACTCATCCAAAGAATCATTTTTCATTCATGCTAACCTTACTAAACTTGAGTCAGCCAACACTATAGTATATTGGCATGACTCATTTTATTTTATTTTTAAGTTTCAACCTTTTGTATCATTTATAGAAAAGTTTGAATGATTCATTGAAACGAAATCGAGCACAACTTTACAGGGTATTCTTTGCTGTCTTTTTTTCTTATAATGATATGGTAGTGGTAAAATGTTGGGTTTGGTGATTTGAGTCATTGATGCATTGAATACACAAAAAAAAAGATTTTCATCAAATGTCTCGGTACACCCATTGGTTCTCATGATTTCTCTCTTCAAATTATTTTTTTTTTATCTCTTTAAGGGTGATGTTGAATCAATCGCTATGATGAAACCAATTGCAGCTAATGAACATGAACAAGGTTTCCTGGAATATCTCGAAGATATAATCGGCACAGAACGTTTTAAAAAACCATTAGAATTACTCAATCTTAAAGTTGAAGAATTAAGTGCAATGTGGGCTGAAAAGGTAGAAAACATTTTATTTTTTGGTCTAAATATTATCATTCATTGAAAAAAATGCTTAATTTTTCTTAGAAAAATCGTGTTAAAGCTGCACAAAACGAAGTTCAACAATTAGATGGTCCATATCAACAAGCATTAGATTTTATTAAATGTGATAATGATTATAAATTAGCTAAATCAAAAATGTTACAGTTAAAACGTTTTGAATTAGGTGATCAAGAAATTTCATTAACAGTTAAATATACTGATCGAGAAGAAAAAATGAAAGAATCAAATGAACAATGTATATCAAAAAAACATTTATGTAAACAAAGTCAAGATGAATTAAATCGTTTACAAAAATCCTATGATAAAAATAATAATGAATTAACTAAACTTAAAAAATCTTTAGTTGATTATGAAACTGAAGATGGTACAATACGGCATGAAATAAAAACAAGTTTTGAACAAGAAAAAAAATATGAAAAACAAAATGAACAAGAATTATCAAAAGTTCAAACATGGGAGAATATTCCAAATGAAAAATTAAAAGAAATAAATCAAATTGAAGAAGATTTAAAAATAGCTGAAAGTCAACAAGAAAAATTTGAGATTGAATTAAATAAATTAAAACAAGATCTATTACCACAAACTGAACAATGGAGAAAAGAATTAACTGATAAAACAAATAATTGTAATCGTTTTAAACAAGATAAATATGCAAATAAAAAAAAAGATTATGAACTTGCACAAAATCGTTTACAATTATTATTAAGTGAAGAAGAACGACATAAAAATACATTAAATGAAATGAAAAATGATTATGAAAATAAACAAAAAGAACTTAATGTAAAACAAGAAAAATTTCATGAAATTGATCAACAAATAAATCACACAGAAAAATTACATCAAGACAAAGAACAATTATTAAAAGATATTGAAGAAGAATATTCTATTGTTGATAAACGTTTTAGACAAAATCAACTTGAACTTAATAATATTAATTCACAAATGCAAACAACACAAAGTCGTGATAGAACATTAAATTTTCTACTTGGGCAAAAACAGCAAGGAAAATTACAAGGATTTCATCAAAGATTAGGCGCTCTTGGTAAGGAATCGATCTTGTACGCTATAAACAGAAACTAAGACAATGTCTCTGCTGAAAAATAATTTTGTAGATTTCAGACAAAACGCGACGTGTCCACCTTTAATTCTTTACAAACGTTTTATTTTTGAATTAGTTCTTTTAACATAGACATATGTTACGTCACTCATGAATGATTTTGCCTATATATTTTATATTTCATTTGTCTTTAAAAATTTCATCGTCTCAGGACAAGTAAAGGAATTGAATATTTATAGATTTTTGCGTAACTTATAAAGACATGATCATATCCGATAGGTAAAGTCGAATAAGTTGGACAATTGAGCCTATTCGCTTGTTATTCTTGCAGCATTGTCACGTAAAATAGTGCTGCTTCAGATGATTTACTATCAACCAAAAGAGTCAATACTTACGTATATTATCAAGAAGATGATGATATACCGTTTGTTTATTAAAATCAAGTTATCTAACTCAAGATAGCCACTAGTCAGTTGATATCGGATAATTTGTTTTGACATAAGCACGAAAAAGATTCACGTCTATGATTAATCTAAACCGACACCAAAAAAACACCCAAGTCACTATTAGTTAACTGAAAAACATGAGAAAGAAAACATTTGTTTCTTCGATACACGTGAGATATTAAATTAGACATGGTTTTTAAAATTAAAATTTCGAGTCATGTACGTCTACATAATTAGATTATTCAGTCAAATCTAACGTTCATGTAAAAACAAAAATGTATGCAAAAGTTCATGATTAAGTAGAAAAGTTGTAGCATGGTACTAGAAACTCAAATTCTTTATTCGAAAAAGTAAAACAGCTGAAGAAATAATATTAAGCTTCTATCTCTTAATATTAATAATGCTTAGAAAAGTACTAGTCGTTCCGTTTGGTTTGACATGCTGCTTCTATAAAACTTAGCAAATCTACTAATAATGTCTAAACTGATTGTTTTAGTTTTAAATTCAGTTGAAATCTTTAGTCAAAAGTCTTATGTTCTATTATTATCAATTTTCCGACCGATATTCGCACTGATAGTAAACAATAATATCTAAAGCATACCAACACAATTCTACTTGTACTTCGTAATGAAATTCTTTGTTTATTTCAGCTAGTATCGATAGTAAATATGATGTTGCTATTTCAACAGCTGCTGGTGGTTATCTTGATTATTATGTTGTTGATGATGTTAAAAGTGGTGAAGCTGCAAAAAATCTTCTTAAAGAACATAAACAAGGTACAGGTAGTTTTATCTGTATGGATAAAATGCTTAGACATTCTCAACAAGCCAATCGTCGTTTTGATGTACCACAATTAGCACCAAATACATATCGTTTATTTGATTTAATTGATATTAATGATTCTATTTATAAAAATACATTTTATTATGCTCTTCGTGATACACTTGTTGTTGATAATATTGATGATGCACAAAAAGTTGCATTTGGTAGTCAAACACGTTATCGTGTTGTTACTCTTAAAGGTGAAACTATTGAACAATCAGGTACAATGTCTGGTGGTGGTTCATATCAAGTTCGTGGAAAAATGACTTTAAAAACAGCTGGCAATCGCACATCACGACAAAGTATTAATATTGATCCAGCAAAAAAAAATCAATTAGAAAAAAGCGTGAAAGAGGTTAGATTAATTATATAAATAAACTTTCTTTTTCTCTAACGAGTGAAAATCTCCTAGTGTGACTTGTCAATCGAACTGATATTTTGCCCTTACGTACGCACTGATGAGATAAGTAGAAGATTATAAGAGTTTGTCCGCATGCACCTTCCTTCAACAGTTTATAAAGCTCAGTATTTCAAGATTCAATGTTTGAAGAAGAACATATTCGTTTAGACTGAAATGTTCAGAGCATTCTAAGATACATAGAGTCAACCTCTAGGCAAAATTTCAGATTGACGAGTTACAATTGCGAACTTTCCCTCGTAAATAAAAGTTTTTTGTTTTAGGATGGTGAAAAATTAACTGAACTTGAACAACAACGTTTTCAATTAACAACAGAAGAAAAACAATTGAAACACAAATTAGCTGATGAAAAACGAATTCATACACAAATTAAAAATGACCTTAAAGTAAGAAAAAAATAATTTTTCTATGAATATCTAAATAAATATTTGCATATTTATTTTATAGAATTTACCTAATCATGTCGAAACATTAAAAGCATCAGTTGAAAAACAACAAAAACTTGTTGAATCTAAAACAGTATCAGCAAAAGATCGAGAAAAATACGATGAAGAATTAAAGCAAACTAAGAAAGGTATGCAAATCTTAACAATTTAATTTAATTTAATTTAAACTTATTTATTTAGAATATGATGCTGCTAATGATGAACTTGAAGAATTAAAAGCTGCAATTGATGTGTAAGTTTCTTTTATTTTCTTTTTATGAATTCATTTGTTTTCTTTTTTTCTCAGTGTAACAAAACGTATAAATGATCATAATAAACTTGCTCTTGCTCAACCACAAGCTGATCTTGATAATGCAGTAAAACAAGTTAAAAAATTACAAAATATAATCGATACAGCTAATGTTGAAATAACCAATGCTCGCCGGTAAATTAAATATGACATTTGCCAGAGAAATTTTTATTATTATTTTCTATGATTTATTGTTTAGTAATCTTAAAAAAAGTCAAGATAAAATTAAAGCTAATCAAACAGCGATTGATCAAATATTAAAAAAACGTGCTGATCTTAATGTACGATTAGAAAAACTTGAAGAATTAGCAAAAAATGCTGATGAAAAGAAAACACAAATAGAAGTAAGTTTAAGTAATATGAAGAAAGACAAAACTATTTGTATCAAATTTTATTTTTAGAGTGATTTGGAAACAAATAAAACAAATATGGCAGAATTACGTGAAACAATACGAATTACAGAAGCTGAATTAGCCGATATTGAAAAAGACATTGTTCATTTAAAACATGAATATGAAGCAGCACAAAAAGAATTGGCTCAATGTCGACATGAAATTAGTGTGATAGATGTCGAGGTATATTGCTTAAACGAGAGAATGAATGCCAAACGTTTGAAGTCTATTTCATAAACGGCTCTGAAACTAGAGTCCGATAATTTCGACCAACAGTTAGAACAATGTTCTTTTATATGAAGACTAACTTCAGCTAGTATATGACACTGAGTTCTTTTAGAAAGTATGAGATCGGTAGAAGTTTTTGTATGCTAATCAGATAATACTTCCAAGTGATTCACTTTGTTTGCTTTTATATTTTGCTGATATCTAAGAGATTACTAAAGTAGAGTAACATCTAAGGATTTTCTGCATCTACTTAGATTTGTTTAAGATACCAAATTTTTCAGTATATTCATCCTGCACAAGTTCAGTTTTCGAAAAACACAATATTTGGAAATTTCTGTCTGAAATTTTGAGTCTCGATTAGGCTATCTTGTCTACAAAGTTTCAAATCGAAATTCCCAAATATTTCTTTTTTCGAAAACTATAAATTCTTGCAGGATGTGTCCATTAAAAAGTCACTATCTAGACCAACTTTAAGCATTCATTAGTTAGAACTACTGATTTCTTTATGAACGAGTAGAAGTATTTCTCACAATTTTCAGTTAAGAAAAAAACTATACTAGAGACTTTGTAAGAAAAATTTGGTTCTGAACTTTATTCCAAGTAGACATGCAGCGAATCCGAAGTCTAGTTTGAGTATGTATATTTCTGAACATCATTAACTTTTTCTTACAAATTTTGCTGTCTTTCAGTTTTTTGAGTCATTTACTTCAACTCTCTTGTTTTATTAATTAACTGAAATTGTTTTATTTTTTAATCAGATCAATGGATTACGTTTATGTCATGTTATTGATGACGAAGAAGATACATCTGATGATAGTACATCAACAAACAACTATCTTAAAGAAATTCCAATTCAAAAATATGATCGTTCTGATCTTGATGTTTATACAATGAAAGATTTAGTTGCAGCAACATTAGAACGTGAAAATGAATTAAAACAAACACATTGTAATTTAACTGCTATTGGTGAACATCGTCGTGCTGTGAGATTTTGTTTTTGTTTTTCTTTTATTTTTTCTTAATTAAAAATTTTTTTTTTCAAGGTTCGTAACTTAAATATGAGACAAAAAGATCTTGTTGAACTAGAAACACGTCGTGATCATATACGAGCAAAACGTGATCGTTTTAATGAACAACGACAAACAGAATTTCGAGCTGGTTTTGATCAAATATCACGTACACTGAAACATATTTATCGAACTATAACAGATGGTGGAGATGCTGAATTAGAATTTTGTTCGAGTAATGATCCATTTGTTGATGGTGTAGAATTAAGGTAAACTAATATTTCGTTATTGTTGTTTTTGATTAATAATTTTATCCTATTATAATAGTATTCGGCCACCAAAGAAATCTTGGAAGCGTATATGTAATTTATCCGGTGGTGAAAAAACATTAAGTTCATTAGCATTTGTTTTTGCTTTACATACGTTTCGTCCAACACCAATTTATGTTATGGATGAAATTGATGCTGCTCTTGATTTTAAAAATGTTTCGATTGTTGGTCGATTTATTAAAGAACGTACAAAAAATGTAAGTTATACAGAAAAAAAAAGAAGATGAGTTTAATTAATATTCTTTTCTAGGCACAATTTATTGTTATTTCATTACGTGAAAATATGTTTACACTCGCTGATTATCTTATAGGTATTTATAAAGTAAATAATTGTTCTCAAACAGCATCACTTCGTCCAGCTCTTTTTGCTAAAAAATTAGAAGAACGAAAGAAATCACATCTCATGTAAGTTAAAAACAAAATAAATTTAATTAAAAATTATTTTTAATTCATTAATTTCAGTTGCTCACAAGAACAAACTAATCCTAGTCATAATCAAGATGAAAATGATGTTACAATGACTGAACATAATGATCAAGCAAATACTTATGATACTCATAGTACTAGTATTCATCAAAATCAAACTGCTATGTCAGATAATAATGGATTCTAAACAAAATATATATATTTTTTTTCTTATATGCTATTGTATATAATGTATTGTGTTTTTGTCTTTCATTTCATTTATGTAGAAAGAGAAAAATAAATAAAATGTATCATCGATGAGTCATTATTATTCTAGATGATTGAGTGAATCATCAAAAATGGCAGTGAGTAATACTACACAATCACTTGATTTCGACATGGTCGATTTGTCAGAAGAGGATAAAGTTGCAGCACAGAAATATCTTAGTGAAAACGGAATACGTGGTATTGAAGGTTTCCTTGCTGAACGATTAGATGCATGGCGAAAATGGTTTGTCTTATTTTTCTTATGAGCTTTTTATTGTTTATCGGAAGATTTTAATTATTTTAGTCCGTTGAATATTGCGATTACTGGAGATTCAGGATCAGCAAGTATCTGCTTGATATTTTCTTTAAATATCAATCATGGATGATGATTAGAGATAAAATCAATGAGTTCTTTTTATTCAATAGGGAAAATCAACTCTCATCAATACACTACGCAATCTTCGAGCAGGTATTTGTTGAATATTCTTTATTCAGAAGTATTTCATTATGAATTTATGCATTTTGACTCACAGATGAGTTCGGTTCGAACTTAATCAGAATTTAAACTAAATGATATTAATCTCTATTTTGTAATCAAACCTATTTGGAATAACATGGGACATTTGTAAGTAAATAAAAATGATTTATAGTAGATATAAAACTGTCATTCAAAGTTTGTCGTTCTCAAAACTATTCAAAATATTAGTCGTTGTTTCTTCATAATATGCCAATCAATTTTGAATGACTACTTTTTCTTATTGAATTAATCACTTTAGAAACACAAAAATGAAGTCTCTCATAAGTCTCTTCAACATAAAATCTAATTACATAAACAACTAAAATGTTTCTATTAATATTAATGTTGACAGTTAACGATCGAAGAATTTTGATATAATTAACTATTAATATAAAATTCTAGAGGATGAAGGTGCAGCCAAAGTTGGAGTAGTTGAAACAACACGAATTATTCAATCATATTCTCATCCAAGTTATCCTAATCTGGTCTTCTATGATTTACCAGGTTTGTTGTTTGATTTATTTTATCTTCTTTTTTTCTATTTATTCTACTTTCTTTTAAGGTGTTGGTACATTAGAATTTAAAAGATCAACATATTTAGCTCAAGTAAACTTAGTTCGATATGATTTCTGTTTGTATATTTTCTTAAATTTATTTATTGAATTAAAAAAAATTGTTTGTTTATTTTAGTTTTAATTGTTTCACGTACACGTTTTACTGAAAATGATCTATGGCTTGCAAATGAAATTAAAAAAATTGGCAAACGATTTTTTTTTATACGAACAAATATTGATCAAGATTTATACAACGAAAAAGTTGATCATCCAAAAAATTATAATGAAACATTAATACTTGGTAGAATACGTGAAAATTGTCTTGTACATATTCGAACAGTTGATGATACTGCAAATATTTTTTTAATTAGTGGTCGACTTAGTCATACATGTCGGTAAGAATATATTTTTTTTTGTTTTGATTAATATAGAAAGAAAATAATTGAAAAATTTCTATAGATTTGATTTTCCTAATATGTGTACAGCACTTCTACGAGATTATCCAGGTTTGAAACGTCATGCAATGATTTTAGCTATGTCAACTAATTGTAAAGAAGTTATCAGAGCTAAAGTTGATATACTTCGTAGTCAAGCATGGGTAGCAGCAGCTGTTAGTGCTGCTGTTGCAACTCCACCAATACCTGGTTTAAGTATAATGTTTGATTTTTCATTAACCGTTGGTTGTGTTTTATTTTATAAAAAACAATTAGGATTAGATGATGAATCTTTAGAACGTATTGCTCAAATTCATCATATACCATTATATGTTTTAAAAGATGAATTACAAAAAATTTTACCAGCACATTTTTTTACAGCTGTGCCAGATTTTGTTGTATCATTAGTTAAAAGACAAGCTGTTGGTACTGCAACTGAAGAAGTTCTTCGTTATGTACCTTATATTGGTTCAGTTATTTGTGCGACTGTTTCATTTTCAATAATTTTATCTGTATTAAGAAATTTATTAAATGTTATGGAAAAAGCAGCACTTACATTGATTGATATTGTGGCTGAAAGAAGTGTTAGTGATGATGAAGATGATGATGAACCTCTATAATAAATTCTTTTTTTATTATTTTGTAATCTAATTAAAATAATGAAAACAAATTTGATTTTTATGTTTGTTGAACATATGCTTTACAGTTAATATATGATGAAATTAAACTTAGTGTTTTCCATTAGCGAAAAAATGTTCCAACTTCTGATAGTATACAATATCAGAAGATGGAATATTTATTTATAGTAGGGAACATCAACTTTAATATTACCATACCATAGAGTTAAACACAGGGGATGTGTCTGCTAAACAAATTTTCTTTTTTTCTCTTTTAAGATTATAGATGAATTTCTCTGATTTTGAACAATTTTTTTATCGTGAGCCAGTTGTTGAATCAATTACAACAGGCGGACATTTCCAATTACTTGATATAACTGACGACGAGAAAAGAGGAGCAGAAGAATTTATTCATGTTAGTTTAATTTGATCGTTGTTTCTTATTCTATATTTGATACTATATTTAGAGAAATGGTGTTCATGGTTTAGATGGTTATCTTTCCCAACGATTGGATGCATGGAAACAACATCCATTAGATATTGCCGTTGTTGGCTCGAGGTAAGAAAATAATCAAACATTGATTTTTTAGAATTTCATAGGCGTATGTTTTAGTGGTGTTGGTAAATCAACATTTATTAATTGTCTTCGTGGCTTGGAAGCTCAAGATGAAAGTTCTGCAAGTGTAGGTGTTGTAGAGACAACTAATCAACCAACTCCATATGAACATCCAGATTTTCCAAATTTGAAAATATGGGACTTACCAGGTAAAAAATTCATTGTTCTATGATTTTCTTAACGAAGAAAAATATTGATTGTAGGTGTTGGAACACCAAATTATCCTCATTCATGTTATTTAGAAAAAGTTCAATTTGAACGTTATGATTTCTTTTTAATTCTTTGTCGAACACGTTTTACTGGTAATTATTATTTTCTAAAAAAGAATGAAGAAAAAAGAGAGCTAAGTATATATTCTTGTCAAATCTAGAAAATGATCTATGGCTTGCATCTGAAGTTAAAAAAAATAATAAACGATTTATATTTATTCGTACAAATATTGATTCCGATTTACATAATGAATATGAAGATCATCCAAGTACATATGATGAAAAAGAAGTTTTACAACGTATTCGTAATAATTGTCTTGAATATATTCATACTGTTGATTCTAATGCTGAAGTATTTCTTATATCTGGTCATTTAAAAAATCGTTTTCGTTTTGATTTTGGAAAATTAAATGAAACGATGCTACGTGATTATCCATCATTAAAACGTGAATCAATGATTTTATCAATGTCAGTTATGTGTAAAGAAGTTTTATTAGCAAAAGTTGCTGCACTTTATCGTCGTATATGGATTGTTGCATCAGCATCAGCAGCTGTTGCTGCTATACCGGTACCATTTCTTTCACTTGGTTTTGATGCAACATTAGTTATGAGTGAAGCTGAATTTTATAAAAAACAACTTGGATTAGATCAAACTGCTTTACAACGATTATCAAATGTTTATCAAATACCAATGCAAAAAATAGAAAAAGAATTAAATGAAATATTTCCATTACAACATATAAATTCGTTAAGGTCATTTATTTTAGATTTTGCAAAAAAACAAGCTGTAGGAGCAACAACAGAAGAATTTGCTCGATATGTACCATATGTTGGAACAGCAATTGCATCAACATTATCATTTGGACTTTGTTATATTGTTTTATATAAAATTTTAATGCGTATGGAACAAGCATCATTGAAAATTGTTGATGTTGTTATTGAGGCATCGAATCGAATGATTCAAGAAGAACAACAAAGGCAACAGTTAATCTAATAGCTTTTCTTATTTTGTAAACACATATTTTCTGTTGGTGATTAGGTTTTATTTTGTGATTTTGTTTTGATTGAGATATTCTTTTATAATGAATGCTTTGTTTTTATTTTTCAATTTTAGATCTTTAATGTCTATTGTTAAATATCGTCCGCCTAATGCACCATATCATATAGCGATACTCGGTCGTTCAGGTGTCGGCAAAAGTTCACTATGCAATTTAATTAGAGATCTAAACTCTGAACATACTGATTCTTCTCCTGTTGGTGTCATTGAAACAACAGTAAAACCTACATGCTATAAACTAATTGATAATGTTTTCATATGGGACGTACCCGGTGTTGCAACTCCATCCATATCTAAAGAAGATTATTGTAAGCTAATTAATATAAATCGTTATGATATGTTTCTTATATTATCTCGCGGTCGTTTTACTGAAATTGATCTATGGTTAAGTGATATTGTTCGAGATCGTTTTAATAAAATACTTTTTTTTATTCGTACTGGTATTGATGAAGAACAACGTAATCATCGTCGTGATTATCCAACTAATTTTAAGTCAACTGAAGTACTTAATATGATTCGTAATAATTGTTTAAAAAATCTCGAAACAAGTCTTTCAAATACAAATCTATCACTTTATCTTATTAATACAAAAGATAAAACTAAATATGATTGTCCAAAACTGATTAATGACATTATGATGCATGTCAATCATGAACGAGATAATCTCATGTTAACATTAATTAAAGAAGATCCTACACAAGAAATAATCCAATCATCGTTATCTTCTACTAATACAACATTACAAACTGCAAAAACAATAGCAATCCAGTGGGCACGTTTTGGTTTAGTTTCATATTTATATGATCGATATTATCAATAAAAATATTTTTCTTTTTCGTTTATTTAAATGAACACAAAAATGAACAATCACAGATTGAGTTCCTATAAACCAGTGGTCATACGTACATCACTTCGAGTTTTCATTAATTTTAAAAGTTCGACTAAAAAGAAAAAAAAACAGCATAAGATCGACAATGAAATTCATAAATAAACTTTTCTATACCAGGAATAGGAAAAACAATTGTAGAATTTTTTTCTGCTGATATATGTGTCAATGTTTGAAGATACCGTAGTTGTAATGCAATCGGACTTTCATTAATCACATCAGCAGCTTCCTAGAAATATTTTTTATTAAAATATTTTTATAATTTCTTTTTTTTCTTAATAATAAAATTTTTACTTTCAAAGATCTTGAAGCTTTTTGTTCACCTTCAGCTGCAATTATTTTAGCACGAGCTTCTCGAGCAGCTAAAACGAATATTTCATTAGATAAGAACAACAAAATGAAAAATCTAAATTCTAACCTTCAGCTTCTGCAGCCATGCTACGTTGCATATTAACAGGAAGACGAACATCTTTACTAAAATAGTAATTCAAATGTGACAAAAAAAGAATATTTCGTTTAGAATAACTGACATTTCTACACGTTCGACTTTTACGCCCCATGGATCTGTTCCTTCATCCAGATGAACTTGCATTGAATGTGAAATATTTTCTCTGTCACATAAAATTTCCTGTAATGTTTTTGTACCTCTATACAACCATCATATAAATCAAAATTTCATTATATTTTCAATTTTGATAAACTTACAAAATATTACGAAGTGTTGTTGCAGCAAGTAATTGTGTAGAGTAGCGGGAATTTTCAACATTAGTTACACTTATTATTGGATTAAATATTCGAAAATAAACAACAGCATCAACGGATACAGTCTGTAACAAAAAAAAAACTCGTATTGGAAATCATTTTTAATATTTTATTATTATTCACATACTACAGAATCTCGTGTAAGAATTTCTTGAGGAGGAACATCAAAAGTAACTAAAAAATAAAAATTAATTTATAGTTTTTTCCTTGATACTCAAAGTTAAAATTATAAAATTATATTAATTCTTCAAAAAAATGCTATTTTTTTAAATAAACATCTATTGTCAATTAACTAAATTATTCAAGTTTTAATTTTATGAATACACACCTGTTCGTAAATCAACTTTGATTATTGAATCAACACATGGTAAAACAAAAAATAAACCCGGACCTTTGGCACCACCTTAAAAAGGAAAAAAAGCAATTAATATTAAATTAATCTTCTTTTCTTTCTTTCTTTATGCTACCCGAAAGAATTCGGCCAAGACGCATAATAACTGCTCTTTCATATTCTTGTACAACCTATTATATCATTATTTTGAATAACATTTCTCTCCCTAGTATATGTTATCCTTACTTTGACCGTAACACACAGTGAAAAAGGAAATGTTAAAAGACATATTATATAAGATAATATGACAAGAATCCAACCACATGTACCTAGACCTTCATGTGCATTGCGTATATCGTCTAATAGAAAAATAAATAAAAATAAATATTTTTTCAAAATAATTAAAAAATTAATTAGAAAAAGCAATTTAGTAATGATGAAATTTATTGAATTACACAGATAATTATTTGATGCATTTACTGATAGATTATAATAAATAAATAGAATTGAAGAAAAATATTAAAAAAACGAAACAAAAATTTAGAAAAACTTACATTCTGAACCAAGTCTAGTGATAACACGTTCTTGTTGTTTGGATGTCATAGATAGAACCTGTTCAGTTGAACCGACTCTATTCGAACGCTAGAATACAACAAAAAAAGAAAACGAGATTTTCTTTTTCTCCATGATCAATCATGATTTCTTACAAAAGCCTGTTCTGTCATATCACGTCGATCAGAAAGAAGTGCCTCAGTTTCATGCATTATTTTTATTAGACTCTGTACCTCTAGCACGGTTCCTTTCCCCAACTGCACATCACATACGACTACTATTACTCATGGATTGAAAAAGAAAGAAAATGTGTCTTGTATAAAAAGAAAACACAAGAAACGAATGACTGGTTTTTTTTTATTAAATGATTCACAAAAAATAAGCAAATGTTTTTTCTTCTTATTCATCATCAACGAACCTAGTGTTGCTAAAACCTAGAACAATGTGGTCGTTCGCTTCGACAAGAAGTAGACGAAGAAGAAAAAAAGAGATAAGAATCTATTACTATAGAATCGTTTGTCGATAGCATTCCGCCTAATGGTTGATGCCTCAATGTAGATTAAATTAGAAAAAAAGACATGCTAAGCCGA